AGGGTCACTCAGCTGGCTTGTCTGTTGCGAAATGCCTGGGGAGACCTCTGGCCTTGTCTGGACCCCAGTGGTGCCGGGCTGGGACACCTCTCAGACTGTGGTCCTGGCTGGGGTCAGAGACTAAGCATAAGCCCCTAATTCTCATGGTTTTTCTGAAACAAAGCAACAGAAAATTTTACGGGTGTGTCCCCCTTAGGAAAGTGGGTCCATAAACAGAAGCCCGAGCACAGGACACGAGGAGGCAGGGGCCCTGCCACACCCCGGCTCCCACAGCATTGATGAAGTCAGCCCTGCCGTGTAAGTGGACACAGTGGGTCAGTCACGCTGGGATTGCGTCCCCGCTGCAGGTGGACCGCCCTCCTCCACTCAGGTGACGCACGTGGTTTTCCTGCCTTAGCCTCTTGTGCTGATGCAGGGGATGCTGCCGAAAGTCGCTGCCCACTGTGCTGTGAGGTCTCAGGAGGCAGGACGGGGATGTGGCTGTGGTCCCTCCAGAGGGTCCACGTGGTGGAGGAGGCCAGGCGGATCGCTCCGGGCCCTTCCTCAAGCTTTTGCCGTGACAGGCCTCGGCGCCCCCATCACAAGGGTTGGTAGCCAAGCGTCCTGTCCACGCCTCCGGTTGCTCAGCCATGATGGCCACAGGCAACTTGTGGTCCCTGAGGAGGTCCGTGGTGGATACTCCTCACCAGGGCAATGGTCCCAGTAGGTGCCACCAACAAGGGGGATGGGGCGGCCCTGTTACCAGGCTGCTCAGGGAACACGGTGCAGGCTCAGCTCCCGGCAGGCAGAGGGCCTGGCAGTCTGGCCCCCCCGGGCTCCGTGCCTGTCCGCCTCCCGTGGTCGGGTCCCGTTCCTGCTCGGCTCACAACACTGCTCCTCACAGGGGAGCTCTAGGCCAGTGGTCCTGCAGTGGGGAGGTGAGGCAGGGCAGACATCCCCAAGGCAGGCCAAGCCCTGGTTTCCATACCAAATCTGCATTTCAGCGAAGACAGAACACACCCTGACCTTGGTGCTGGAGTCGGCCATGCGGGCAGAGCTGGGACTGTGACGGGCGCAGCCTCCGCCCAACTGGGACTCCTGGTGGGACATGTGTCCGAGCGGTCCGAGCCCACCGGCTTACATAGCGACCGGACCGCGGGCTGTGAAAACCCGCTGCGGAAGTGAGCTGCGGTCTGCGTGCCCAGAAAGGTAAGCGTGCTCTGGGCGGGAGCTCTACCGATCTCTGCCATGGAGCCACATGCCCTGCTAGGGCCATTTCAGGAATCCATGGACACGGGGCCGTGTGACACAGACCGGGTCGCCCGGGCCCTCCCTGTGTCCCCACCAGTGGTGGGTGGGCTTCCAGATGGGTGGGCGACAGACCCTGTCCAGTGTGGGGTAGGGGGTGCAGCGCTGCCCAGCAGGCCTGCCTGCACCCCCACCCGACTTCCCACAGCAAGCCCCGCGGCCCTCCTGAGCCCTCTCCGGGGGTCTCCAGCTGTGCAGGTGTATGTCCTGGGGGTGGGGTGGGCTTTGAGCCAAGCCCAGGGATGTTCACCTTTCCATGTGTTTTACAAAGCTTCATCCTGGCTCCTGGGGGCATTGAGCCCACCAGCAGCCCTCCAGGTCTCGGGGTGCATGGTCTTCAGGGCTGGGAGGGGTCGGGTCTGAGCTCAGGGGGCCAGTGGAGGCCTCATCCTGCCCCCTTCCCACCAGGCTTAGGGTGGAGGTGAGGACAAGGCTTCCCCAGAGGGTCCTCGCCTCCACCTGGGCCAGGAGAGGGGCCCCACGGCCGTCTCTGCCCCTCTGGGTGGGGGAGCAGTGGTGAGTCCGGAAGGGCCAGCAGGACCCAGGCAGGGTCTGCAGGGTGGAGAGGATGGCGGATGAGGGGCTGGCTGGTCAGTACGCCCCGGACCGGGACACACGATGGGAGAAAAGCTCTCTAAAGGCCTGAGATATGAGGGAAACCATTTTCGTCAGCATGACGGTGTCAACTTTGTTCAAGCCTGAAGCTGGGCCTGTGAGGTGCTTTGTGAATGAGCGGCCTGTAGGAGACCCGTCCTTCCCCTCTCCGCTCCCCTCCCCTCACTCCTTCACCACAAAACCTGTGATTCCTGCCCACTGCTAATCTGTAACGTTTGACGTGAGAAAGCACATAACCCTGCAGGAAGTGCTCATTCTCCGGAGCGCTCTGTGAGGACCGTGTTCCCAGCTGTCCTCACCTGGGCGTGAAGAGGACTCTTGTTGTTCATTTTGCATCAACACGCGGAGGATCCGGAAAGTTCTGAGAGGAGTGGCCCCCAGCTGGCAGATCCCAAGCGTCACTCACAGGAGACGGTCTTCCGCCGTCCGTCTGTCCTGTCTCCGGGCCTACTGGGTGGTGTCACAGCCCACGCTTTTCCCCTGAAACATGCACAGTGATGCACATCCATCGTTTCTCCATGAACTGGGGAAGCACAATCCGGCGCTCGGGGTGGAGACACAGCCCTTAAACTTTCGGGAAGTGACCTCTGACCTCATGTTTGCACCAGCACAACCAGCCCTGGCTCAGGCCCACGGGAGGGGCCTGGAGCCCTGGGTGCCGGCTCAGTGTGGACGTGGTGGTGCAGAGGCCAGCCTGGCCGGGCCACGCCTGCCCTCCCGCCCCAGGGGGCTGCCACCTCCCAGGCCCACCCCACCCCTGTCCCCAGCTCCATGCCACGGCCACAAATCCCAGTTCAGCAGGTCCTGTTCTCTGGGGACAGAGACCAAATTTAGACAGATCGCAGGCTGCTCTTGCCCATGCATCCATCATTCTCTGCCGACAGCTGGTGGACACTTGAAGGCCGGTGGTAAGTTCGTGACTTCTGAGTTAACAGGCAGAGCGGGTTGGGCCTGAATGTCCCCGACGAGGACAGCGAGCTGGGGACCCTCACGAGCCGGCCTGAGGTGGTCCCTGTTGTGCTTGCTGGGCTGGGCCTCACCACCCGGAGCTCGACCCCCCAGTGAGGGCTTGCTCCCCTGGGCATGGGCGGTGGAGGGTCCCTTGAGCCCGCGCTCCCTGTGGCCCCCAGGGCAGGACGCCTGCTCTCCATGCTGCCCCACCAGCTGCCCCACCAGCCCCTGCGGACGGCCTCCAGGCTTGAGGACACCGGGAGACGTTGTCGGGTCTGTTGTCGGGTGCTGAGTGGTCGAGCCCCGTGGGCAGGGTGTTGGGGTCCAGGCTGCAGCGAGTTCTGACGCAGGTCCTCTGAGGCGTGGTTGCAGCAAGAGTCAGGCTGTGGAGAGGCCGGGTCGGGGCACGGCAGGGTCTGTGGGGCGAGCCCAGTGGGTGTGCGTCTGTCCCAGGCACCGTCTGGCCCCCTTGCCCGCCGTCCCCACCCAAGCCGACCCCACGGCTGTGAAAGCCAGGTGCCCCTCTGACCGGCCGTCCCCTGCTGTCCCCCGCCTCCCAGAGCCCTGCTGTTCCCGGCGTGGGGAGGGGGTACTGCACGCTGGGAGGTAGGACACCCCAGGGAGGGGTCCCTCCTGGGCCTTCAGGCAGGAGAAGGGTGCATTAGTGAATGGAAAACAGGCTAATAAATATTTTTCAGAGTGAAGATGGGAGTATCAGCGGCAGAGCCATGGTTGGGCGACTCCAAACGTGACCAGGGACAAAGTCAGAGAAAAAGCAGCTGATGGAGGCAGGGAGGGGCGACTGGAGGGGCTGCTGAGAGAGCAGGACCAGCCCCCTCCTCTTGCCCCCCAGGCTCCCTGCAGGGGCCACGCTCTTGGTGGCAGGGCTGGGCTGTGAGTGGGGCCCTCGCCTCAGAGCCCAGGAGCCCTCAGAGGCACTTCTGGTGGGCACAGGGAAGTAAGATGGGGGCCATAGGGCATGGGGTGCAGGGCATGGGGTGTGGGGTATGGGGTCTTGGGTTTGGGATGCTGAGTTTGGGGTGCTGGGTGTGGGGTGCTGAGTTTGGGTGCTGAGTGTGGGGTGCTGGGTGTGGAATGCTGAGTGTGGGGTGCTGAGTTTGGGGTGCTGGGTGAGGGGTGCTGGGTGTGGGGTGCTGAGTTTGGGATGCTGAGTTTGGGGTGCTGGATGTGGGATGCTGAGTTTGGGGTGCTGGGTGTGGGATGCTGAGTTTGGGGTGCTGGATGTGGGATGCTGAGTTTGGGGTGCTGGGTGTGGGGTGCTGGGTGTGGGATGCTGAGTTTGGGGTCCTGAGTTTGGGATGCTGAGTTTGGGGTGCTGAGTTTGGGGTGCTGGATGTGGGATGCTGAGTTTGGGGTGCTGGGTGTGGGGTGCTGAGTTTGGGGTGCTGAGTTTGGGATGTTGGGTGAGGGGTGCTGAGTTTGGGGTGCTGAGTGTGGGGTGCTGAGTGTGGGGTTCTGAGTTTGGGGTGCTGAGTTTGGGGTGCTGGGTGTGGAATGCTGAGTTTGGGGTGCTGAGTTTGGGATGCTGAGTTTGGGGTGCTGGGTGTGGGGTGCTGAGTTTGGGGTGCTGGGTGAGGGGTGCTGAGTTTGGGGTGCTGAGTGTGGGGTGCTGGGTGTGGGGTGCTGAGTTTGGGGTGCTGGGTGTGGGGTGCTGAGTTTGGGATGCTGAGTTTGGGGTGCTGGATGTGGGATGCTGAGTTTGGGGTGCTGAGTTTGGCGTGCTGAGTTTGGGGTGCTGAGTTTGGGGTGCTGGATGTGGGATGCTGAGTTTGGGGTGCTGGGTGTGGGGTGCTGGGTGACCCCGGGGACCTGAGACACACGGCCCGAAAATCACAACATGCTGCTGGTGAGCAGCTCTGTAAACAACTACCAACATTCTTGTCACAATCTCTCCAGAATATTTTTCTCACACACAGATAAGCCACACATTCAGCGCACTCAGAGAGGTCTGAGCACAAGTCCCAGAGAAACCACTGAGCATAAACGAGGCTGAGGCGCCACGTGACCGAGGCCGTGGCCCAGCGGGCAGCGGCAGAACCAGAACACAGTTGGTCTTTGCTGTGAAGGAAGTTATCCAGCAATCTGCTGGTGGGGCAGCAGAGCATGTAAGTAAACGTCAGCCTCACCTCGTGCAGGCCTGGGGTGTCCAGCGTCTGGAGCACTGGGCTGGTCAGGGGTGCCACCCCACCTCCGACGGCAGAGCACTGTCCACAGGGCAGGCTCCGCTTGTGCAGGAAGCTTGGGGGGCTGCAGGAGCCCAGGCGGAGGCCGACCAGCAGGCGTCTGGCCATGGCTCTCAGACCTCAGGAATGTACCAGGTGGTCCAGACGGAGCTGGTGGGAAGAACGTCAATCAGATGGAGTGTAGAGAACTGTGCTCCCGGAGGGGGATACCTGGGGGTCACCTGGAGGGAGATACCTGGGATCAGCTGGAGGGAGATACCTGGGGATCACCTGGTGGGGACACCTGGAGGGAGATACCTGGGGGTCACCTGGTGGGGACACCTGGAGGGAGATACCTGGGGTCAGCTGGAGGGAGACACCTGGGGGTCACCTGGAGGGAGATACCTGGGGGTCACCTGGGGGTCACCCGGGGGTCACCTGGGGGTTACCTGGGGGTCACCTGGAGGGAGATACCTGGCGGTCACCTGGTGGGGACACCTGGAGGGAGATACCTGGGGTCAGCTGGAGGGAGATACCTGAAGGTCACCTGGGGGGCTCCTGCAGGGGGACTCCCAAGGGTAAACTGACTCTCCTCAAGGACGGCTCAATGCTGCCCAGAGAGCTCTGCCCAGACGCGTCTGGACTGACCTCCCAAGGAGAAAACCACCTTTGTGCTCTGACACAAGGAAGGGCTGGCTCTCTGTTGTGACCGCGTCCTTGGGCACCACGTGCGCACTTGGTCCCCGAGCTGGGTCTGTCTGAGGCCAGGTTGCACAGCGCTCCTTCCTGCCGGCTCGTTCACGTACCGTAGTCATGAGTGAGCCTAACTGCATCGCTGCAAATCCCATTAGTCTGGGTACTGAACAACAATACACAGAAGACTTTAAAAAATTAATTTCAAGTTTTTCCCCTTGATTTGTTCTTAATTCGCTAAAGCCGTTTTCATTTGAAGATGCTCTCTTCTCATCAAAAAAGCAAAACCAAAAAAAGAAAAAAGGCTAAATTTGTCTGTGTGACGTGAATACGTTTGTGGCGAGGCCGGCACATCTGGCGGGTGAGCCGAAGGGAGCAGGGGGCGGGCAGCCCGCCGGGAGACGCGGCCAGACCCCTTGCAGGGGTCCTAACAGAGCCCCGGCTCCGTGTGGATGGACACATTTAACTAGTGGTTTCACAGCAGATTCCATTAACTGCTTTCAGCAGTTCTGGAGGCCTCTCCCCGAGGGCGAGGGACAAGGCTCGGGGGAGCCGAGGGCCTCCCACAGCTGCCAGTGTGCGCCAGGCCGTGGGGTCAAAGCGCTGTCCCCAGGTGCACCTGTGTAAGGCCCGCAGGGGGTGACCTGTGGGCACTGTGTCCAGCTTCACCACCGCGAGCGCCCTCTGGCATTAGCAAGCCTATCTGGACAGCCAGCGTGGCCAGGGGGCCCGGTGTGCAGACAGGCTCAGCCACCGCAGCAGCCCCGTGGGGTGGGGAGGGGGACGGGACCCGCCATGAGTGCGCCCTCCCACTCCTTCAGTTCCCCTGAAAAACCCCGGCCTCCCGCGAGCACGAGGAACGCTTCAGCCTCGTGCCTCTTTCAAAGCTGGGTGCTCAGCCAGGAGTGGTCACTGGAGCCGGGGACTCTGCCCCGCTGGGCTTGGCTCCCGTCCCCTCCCCACAAGGAGGGCGCTGCGCCTGCCTGGTTGCATCAGGTGTGCCCGGGAGCTGCAGTCCCGGCGACCAAGTCATGTGGTCTACAACACTCAGGAAGCCCCCGGTTTGGGGGCCTCACTGACCTTATCCTCGCCTGTAAAGGGGCCATGGTTCCTGGAAGCCTTTCTGTGGGAACCCACCAGGGCCAGAGCCTAGCCCACCCCTGGCGTAAGTGGCTTCTGACGGTGGTGTCGTCAGAGTTTGGAGCTTGTTCCAGGGGCTGGAGAGCGGGCATGGCTACATGATTTGAAGGGCGTCACGGTGCATCGCCAGGGCCTTCTGCTCGGTGCGTGGGTGGGTCTGGTGCGCTGCTGGAAGGGCGAGGCCACAGGCAGGTGACCTGGAGCCGCAAGGAGGTGGACGTGGTGGGGACACCAGGGGCTGCCCCGAGGCCAGGACGGGCATGTGGCGTCGGCATCCTGGCGTCTGGGTATCACCCCCACATCACAGCGGATGCTGGGGTTTCCCCCACGTTTTTGAGCCTGAAGAAGTTCACTGACTCAGTACGGGATCACTCAGCGGGCAGGGGGCAGAAGACATTTGAACCCTGACTTGACCCCAAAGTTGTGTGCTCGTCGCAGCCTGCGTGAGAAGTTGGGGGGCAGATGGTAGGAGGGGGGTGATGGCCACCGGGCAGGCCAGACCCAGGCACGTTCAGGTGACATCGATCAGAGCCACGTGCTCGGCCTGTGGATGAGAGGACGCATCACGGAAGGGAGAGAAGTTCTAGAAACAGGCCCATCTATGACTTGCTCATGACAAATGCGAATCTCGGATCAGCACCGAGGAGCGGGCCGGAGCGGGCAGTTGGGCCGCGGTCCCGTCTCAGGCATCCTGGCCCCAACTTCTGGTGCTGGACCGGGTGATGGCGAGCACCCTGAAGCCTCTGAGATGGTACGGCTCCTAAAATATCTCGTGAGTAAATCTGAGAACGTCCCAAGGCAAAGGGCCGAAGAGTCAGGGGCGGGCAGTGTCGTCCATTAGGCGTCTCGGCTGGCTCACGGGAGCTTCTGTGCCCCAGGCAGCCAGCACAAGCAGGTGGCTGGGCCACAGCCCTCTCTCCTGGGGCCAAGACCACCCTGTCATTCTGGGGTCCATGAGACCCCCTGGCACTGGGCTCGGGGGGCGGGGTCCAGAGACAGACAACCTGATGGCCAGGGGGCGGGGGTCCGTTGAAACTGTGTCCTGGATGGTGGTGGGTCATGGGCCCCAGTCCCAAGCTGAGCCCACCGTGGCCTGCAGAGGAGACCTCTGAGCCCGTCCAGCCCCTGTCTAGTCACATCCCCATGCAGTTGGACAAGGCCTCCACCCTGCAGCTGGTGACAGGAATCACCGAGGCTGTGGCACGGCTGAGTGACCTGCAATGGGTGGACACAGTGACAGGGGGTGAGGGGGTGAGTCTTGCTGCCCCCGAGGCCTGGCAAGGGGAGGCTTGGGGGCACTCTCTACTCCACCATGTTCCCAAGGACATCCTGTCTCGGCCACCCCACGCACGTCTGCAGCTCCCGGCCCTCAGACCCCTTGGTTCTCCAGCACAGCCCAGCCCTCCCTTAGCCGCATGTGCCCCACCTTTCTGTTCCCCACTACGGGAGACCCTGCAGGCGGGCCGGGGGCCTCACCCGCTCCCAGGACACACTTGGCAAATGTGTGTGAAGGAGATCATTGTCCCGTGAGCTCCTGAGCTCAGGACCTGGGAGCTGGTTGCAGACTTACCAGCAAAGCCTGAACCCAGAGGTCTCTTCAAAGCACCCTCCTGGCTCGGGGCCAGAGCCCTCGGCACTGACCGTCAGGACCCCACAGACATGCCCACGACTGATGCCCCGCGAGCCTGCGCTGTCCTCACACAGGCTGTGCGGCCCCCCGAGGGCAGCGTCCGGGCTGGTCTCTCGACTGGTGTCCAGGCTCTGCATGCTGAAATGTCCCTTTGGCCCCAGAGTGCTCCCGCTGAGCCACAAGCCCCGAGAGCTTCTCTCAGGGTGCGGGAGGCCCTCCAGCCGCCCCCGGCACCTGTGGGCTGGGCGTCTCCAGGCCAACGTCCCTTAAATCAGGGCCCCTCGGGTGTGACCCGGCTTCCACTACGAGGCTTAGGATTAATGACGTGCTCAGTGGAAGGGAAAATTAGACTTCCAAGGTATTTTTCAGTGTTTTGCTTTGATAAGTGTTTTTTAAATGTGCCAATATGTCTATTTGGGTGTCTTTGCTGTGGGGCTTTTCAGGCTCCTGGATCACGCACGTCTCCTGAGGCACCCGATTCCCACCCACAGCTCTGCACTGATGGCCACCACGGACCCTGAGCCGGGGGTGGGGGCTGGGACCCCGTGTGTCTGTGGAAACCCGCCCAGGGGAGAGGCCTGGCCCTGCGCCCGCCCACGTGGGAACACTGCAGTGCGGTTTCGTCCACAGGATGGGCCCCAGGGCCCCAGGTGAGCAGGACCGGGGCGGGGTGGGGCTGCTGTGAAGGAGGCCCATTCCTGGTGGCCATGCTCTGCTAGAACTGCGACCCAGGCATGAGGGGGAGCTGGGCCTGGGGGCGAGGGTCTCGCAGCACTCCCTGGCCCTCTTTCCCTAATACTTGTCCCCACTTGTGGCCGGGCCCTGGCTCCTTCCTGTCCCGAGTGTTTGGCCTCGGTCCCTGTCTCGGGGACAGCTGTCCAGCATCAGCGGCTTGAAGGTGGACGTGGTCTCCAGGCTTCCTAGGCCAGGGGGGACGCCTGCTGAGTGTAGGTGCCATCAGCTCAGCCACCCGGAGCCACATCTGTTTTGGGGTCCCGTGACCTTCTCGGGAGATGCCTGGATGGCAGCTGGGCTGAGGGTCTGGAGGCCAGCGCCAGCCTGGGGCCGGGAAGAGAGCGGAGGCTTTCTTCTAGGAGCTGCTGGGGCCCTGAGAAGCCTTGGATGTCTGTCCCCACTGCAGGGATGTCCAGAGGGACGAATGGTGGCACAATGGGAAGTCTTCGTGGCCGTGCCCTGGCTCTCCACGTGTGTCTGCCCCGTCCCTAGAGCCCTGGGCCGGGCAGCTGCCCTGGGGGTGTGTTTGCTTCGTTGACCCCAGGGGTGGGCAGAGGACATGGAGCCTCCGACCCGAGCGCTCCTCTAGCTCCAGCCCCAAGGGACAGCGTGATTAATCACAATATGCAAATGGCTCATTTAAAAAATCCATCACACAGGATGGTTTGATTCATTATTCAGGACTTGAGGTGTGTGCACAGAATTCCTAATGATCCACCAAATCAAGGGCCAGGACAGTCATTTCAGATGAAAAGACCCACGGTTTCAGCAGACAGCGCTGCACCCCCAAGCCCTTGCTCCCCTCCCTCACGGGCACGGTATTTGAGCTTTTCCTGGTCTCCCACAGACCCGTCAGGCTCCCAGGGCCCAGAGCCTGACTCGGGTGGCCGGCCTCCCAGCCCTCGGCCCAGATGCCCGAGCCAGGCCCGGA